AGTAGGTATTCCTAGACCTAAGACCACTGTATGTTATATCTACCATCCAGTCCAACAAGAGTGATTAATATAAGTTGATAGAACCTGTACTGCAATTGGTGCAAAATAAGTTTGATTATTTAATTAAGATTCATATTTATCACATCTCCCCATTTTTGAAAGAGACCATCTTTTTAGCTTTTGAAAGCAGAAAACTAAAATTCCCCACCTCTTTATTTTTGCTTAAGTTCAATCAATTTGTTGTAACTAGCACAGCTTAAACTATCACATTTTACACTAGTGGTTTGTTGAAGAATGGCTAGGGGTCATTGTAAGACTATAGAGACATTTTTAACCTAATAGGTTATGCAAACAAACTCTCGGTCCCCATTGAAATATTTCATAGTTTGGTAAGGATTGGTTTGCTGTTATTGCCAGACCCGGGTTCAAACCGGAACCCTCTGAAGTCAAGATGGACGCTCTACAAATTCAGCTAATGGATCACTGACTAGGGGCAGGTCCAGGTGAGGGCGTAATGGGCGTACGCCCCCTACGATTAGTATCCGTTGTTGTTGACCACGATAGTGAAATCGTCAAAGATGTCAAAACAAAACCGTCAAAAGACCTTAAAATCATCTCCAGGTGTCTTGGACACCTTTTTTAAACAACCATAACAGCATAAAAAATGTCAAACCCTGACACTTTAACTATAAAATATACATACTCCAAGTCAGGAACCGTTACATTAGTGCATTTCACAATTATTTTAAGTTTTTTAGCCAAAAAAGGTCCAAAAACTTTTTCGCCTTGCTCCCCCCTCTTTCAAATATCCTAGAAACGCCCCCGCTGACAATCGTCCCTGAAAGTCCAGTTTGGGTATTAAGCAAAACTGGACCAGGTTGAACGCCAGGCGAGCAGGTAAAGCGTCCCTCTACAGTTTTGAGGATCCCAGGCTCAACCTCGGTTTGTCTTTGCATTTCTATTTCTCCCGTTACAAATTTACATTCTTCATGGCCAATCAACACAAAAGAGGTCGTCACTCATTAGGGCCAGCCAATTAATGGTCGATGGATTTGTTGTTCATAGTCAGCAACATTCATTGACTATCAACTGTCAACTGTGTTTTTGTATTGTTTTATACAGAGTCTGTAACAGGAGAGGAAAAATGCATGGCCAGACCAGGGTTCGAACCCGGCATCCTCCGAACTCTAGATGGACGCTCTACCAATTGAGCTACCTGATCGCTGACGGATCAACCCAATCTAGTTCCGGTACATTCCTTCTTCCTTTTTCTAAGTTTTCGCCCCCTAAGACATCACTATTTACAACCCAGGTTTACATATCCTCTTGCCAAGTATACACCTGAATGCTTGAAACAAGGGTTGGTCACAGGCATCAAGTTGTAACAGGAGAGGTAAAATGCATGGTCCAGACCAGGGGTTGACCTTGAGCCCCTCTGAACTCTAGACGGACGCTCTACTAATTGAACTACCTGCCGAAGTTCAGTTCGGCTACAGCTCAATAACAATTTAAGTCATCTGGGTCAAACAACACATGTAAGCTGTTGATGTAAATCTTCTCAATTCTCCACACATGATGAGACACGTATACGAATTAATTATAATTTTTACAAAATGTATGCATATAAAATGATGCAGTTATGATTTATTCATGATATAACTGTAGGAGATCAAAACATTATAATCAGTAAAACTTCATACTCTGATGCAAGTGTTTCTTTTTTTACTGACATGATCATGTTGATACCATCTAGACATGTCTTTTACTTCAAATAGTATGTTTTCAAGAAAAAACAGAACTCTGAACAATGGAATTTAAAAATGAAAACAGCGAGCAGAGGATCAAATAAGTATACCCCCACCCGGCCCCTACACAATGGTCAAGTGTGACCTTTGACCCATTGTTCTAGAATGATGACCACCAAAATCTCATCGGGTGCAGAACATCACATTTGATAATCACATATTGTTAATATATACAATATGTATATAAGTTTACAGTAATACAACATATCAATTACTCTTTACAGGTAGGGTTTCGGTGTGGTACAGAAAACGTGACCTTTTGGTATAAGATACTTAAATGTCCACAATAATAATCTTAAAAATTGGGTTATGATTAGATAATTTTGTCTCCCATCCAGTGTAAAGAAAGATTCTATTAATCAACATCAAAGGGGAAAACAAGACCCACTTGACTAGATTTTGTTCTATTCTTATTATTTATTAATATTTAAATCATGAATTATTTAATTTCACCTGTGCATACATGCAGGTGCCACGTCCCACTTCCTTTTTATGCAGGAGAACCACCTTTTTTATCATATCTCCTCCCAAGAATTATCTCCCTTTTGAAAATGTGAGAATTATTTCAAAATCATAACTCCCTATAACCCGTAAGTGTTTTATATGATATACAGGAAATAGCTTAAGACTCGGCAGGAAAATAACTTTTTAGGGCCTGTATATAGTAGAAAAATGGTGAGACTCTCTACTTTGATGTCTGGTGTACGTTGGGAATCAGGTTTCACCACAGTTGATTCACCTACCGCTTCTGTCTCTCCAAAATGTGAATTATTCATATCTATAGCTATTCAAACAATGATAAAGGGACACTGGTACAAAGTGGGACAGCAAATGACATAAAACTGCATAAAACAAATATTTAGTTGAACACTACGGATACATTTATCAATTAACACATTAGATCTGACAGCTGAAATACAATATCTGCCTGTACTTCGTAACAACTACAATGCATTAATGTTTCCGTAAAATACACTTGTGCTACTTGTTTTGATGAAAACTTTCGTCTCTCCCTGAATTATTTCCTGCTGTTTTGTTAGCCTCTGAGTGAAATGCATTCTTTGCAAACTTATATCTCCCTTTTGAAAATGTGAGAATAATTTCAAAATCATAACTCCCTATAATTACCTGTAAGTGTTTTATATCCGATATACAGGAAATAGCTTAAGACTCGGCAGGAAAATAACTTTTTAGGGCCTGTATATAGTAGAAAAATGGTGAGACTCTCTACTTTGATATTTGGTGTACGTTGAGAGTCAGGTTTCACTGTTGATTCACCTACCGCTATAAAATAATTCTATACATTGTTCGATATAAATGTTTTTTCAACCATAACAATTATACTCCTGGAATACTGGTTATTGATCAAATGAAACTCATGATAATCAATTCCAAACCTCTATGGCGCCAATTAATGAGTTTCATACATATAAAATGTACTAAATATTTATACAATGTAGTAAATTTCAACGTTTGTGGAGATATTTCTCAGCTGATTTTGATATAAAATTTTCAATAGAAAACATTGAATTACAATTCTTGTTCATGATATATCAATGCTAATTTTTATCACTCAGTTTGTAAATGACAAGGAGTTGTATTGTACGCTTCTAAAATTGTCAGCCACATCTACTACGGAACTTACAGATGCAATCAGTAAATTGGCAACAAAATATCTATTAATGTTCAAACCATTACCATATTAATAAGATCAGTTGATCAGAAAATAGAAAAAAAAATAATAGATTTTATTATAAGGAAAATTTATCTAAGTAAATTCATTGATTTGTGCCCATGTGGCAGATTTAAACTAGCTCAGCTAATTTACATAATCTGCCATATTCTTTTTTTAGATGTTATAGCAGTTCAAATAAATCCGGAGCTAACTTTTATTAAGGATCAGTGCCAGAAACTGTAACAAAATGTGGGAAACTTAAACTGTTTTATCCGGCATGACTGTAGCCCTGATAAATCATTTCTGAAAAGAAAACTGTACCTTGCAGGATTTTTATGAGAAATGATAAAGATGAAATATAAACAATATATAATCAACAAAATGTAAACTCTGAAGAAATAAAAAAATTATCGGCAGGGCTAGACCGTGATTCAGACCCTGAACTTCAGATTGATATACTATCGCTCTAACCGAATGAATTTTTTGACCAGTTGTGAATTTCACCTCGTACCGTACGAGACATATTGATATAAAACGTACATCTCATTCTGTTAAAATTGTATTTGAGGTTCCTTCGCCAATTGAAACATTTTCAAGTTGGCCTGCCTTCATAACTTAGAGTAGACAATTGACAAAATCACACGAAATCGTCCTTTTCGTGACTTTGAGGGAGTCTTTTGTTTTGTATAATAATCAGTATAGTCAACTTTCATGTAAACAACATACTGAAGCAAATCGAAACGTCCAGAATTTGTAAACCCTTTTTATAAAACATACAACATTTTAAGGTTCTGCAGAGAAGAAAAATTGCTGTTTTTTACAAGTTCTCCATGCCCATGTTGGATTGTTTGAAATTACTTTAAAAGTCTTGACAACACTTTTTACAGTCTGTGGTAGGTATTTTTCGGATTTCAATCAGTGTTTTTGAGAATTTAATTATTTGTTACTTTATAGTTATCGATGATTATGACAGAAAGTACACTATAGACGTTCTTACATTATTTTACAGACATGTGAAAATTTTGTCAAAATCAGTTTATAAGGACGGTTTAAAAAAAAAAAAAAAAAAAAAATATTAAATTATTATATATATTGTAAATTCTATCTTTTGTCATTTATGTGTGCAATCTGTATAATACCAGGTTTTCATATAATTTATATAAAGGTCAGAAAGCTAGGTGTCCATTCCTTAGGAAAGGTTTGTCCTATTAAAACACATCCTGGGTGGTAAAACCAGACTGTGATGACAATCACAGATACATTTGTATGCAGTTAGCAGTGATTTTGAGATTGTTAAAGAAAAGCTTTTTATATGGATCTGCTTGTAAAATAACTATTTGTGCTAATTGTAGAGCAGATTCGCTGCAGAAAATCAATAGAATTTACATCAGTATTCAAACCATTCAATTACATAGATAGCTTCTAGTACACTATCAACGGTTCGCTGAAACTAATCGAGGGGCTATCCATTAAGAATCAATTGATATCACCAATCAGGCACAAAGCAAGGCAAAGCATACCTTTTTCATCCTTTTCTCTTTCGTCGATCCATAGTCCTCGGCATACGACGTTGATTCTGGAACCGCAGAGTGGTAACGGCACTGCTCTCGATGTCAACTATATTTGTGTCAACACCAGATCTTCAACAGTTCAAAGTAAAGCGACTGGATTAGTCTTGGAACTCAAATGTCTTATCGCTAAATACAAGATGGTAGTGCTAATTCAAGCCTATAATCCCCCTTATAATGCTGTTGCTTCAACTACAAGCACTCTAATTTTATCAGATGCCGACGTCATTTTGAAGACATGTCAACGAATCCATGGGGGTTGTCAAATAAAGAGGCGTGCACTACATTTTCCTCGTCAAGTAATTATAATGATACAAGTTGTTTACATGGAGAGACAGCGAGCATGTCATTTCTCTCGTGTATCTACACCATTCTGTGTTGGTTCGTCTGCTGCGCTGATTATGCCCGCAACGTCACGTGCCTAGCCAATCAATTATGAAGCTAAGCAGAAGTAGTGCTCTGGCTACAGGTAACACCAGACTCCGCCAATATCAACTCCCGATCCACTTCCTAAACAAATCGATTTTCTTATGAGAAAGTTGTAAGAGTTGTCTGCCTTTATGATCCATAGCTGCAGAAGCAAGTATTTGGCGGGAAAATTGCGCGATGTGTGTTTGGTACAGCCGCTGAATTTGATATATTCCATTGGTTTTTGCCTACACTCGCAAACAATCAATTATAGGGCCTACTGTTGCTAATAGTTTTGCCTTCCGCAAACTTATGAGGTAAACAAAAAGGCAGTCCTTTTTCAGTGAAGTGCTTTTTCCGGAAGTCATCTGAATGCACATTGAAAGCACGGCATTAGATTATTGAAGTGCTTATGTGCATTATGTAAGCTCCGATGTCAAACAGAGACGTTACTGCACTTCAGTACACAGAAGTCTGATATAAATGTATACTCCATATATCACACATATATATAGGTTTAGCCACGGACGTAGATAAGTCTTATTCCGTGGTTTAGCGTAGGAAGCTGAAAATAAATGAAAAATAAATGTAAATAGAATATATGCCTCTGTTCAAACATGGCAATTTGTGAATTGTATCGCTGGACTCGACTCATTTATGTATGGTTGGTATTATCACGGACTTATCACGGAATTCCGTGGTATTATATAAAATTTCATGGTGATTTGCTGCTTTTTTTAAAGACGGCGCGAATTCTACGCACAGAAAAGAAATCCGTTGAATCTACACAATTATATGACGAGAACATCATATACATGTGCTGAATAGAAACAGATACCCATGTATGTACACTTAGATGTTATCATATTACCATTACCATAGCCTTCTCCGTATCAGCCCGAGGAGCCAAAGACCCGAGGGCTGATATGTGTCGAGGGCTGATACGGATTAGGCTATGGAAATGGTCATATGGTAATCATTTCATCATATGCTGCTCTATAACATCAAAATTATTAGCAATAACACATAAAACTCACAGAAAAATTATAAATCTCATGAGCTTAACTATAAACCAAAACTTAATACGTGTTTCAGGTAACATTCCTGAGAAAAAACTGTAGTTAGGCAAATGGTTTCATTTTCATTTTTATTTTTTTCATTATCATGGATCAACATGTACATTAGCTTATATCAAATTTCACACATCACAGTTACTAATAATTTGTCAAAAAATAGGGTCAGGCTCCCAGATTAAGAAGAAATCACATTTTAATGAGTGGCTGTGAGCTAATAAATTAATCTTATATTACAAGTTGGTGATAAAAGCTATGGCGGAAAACTGCCCGTATTTCCCTAAGTCGGCATTTTTGAAAACGGAAAAAAATATAGATGAGTAAATAATTTTTAGTAGCGAAAATGCATGGAATGAATATAAAACCAATTGAATATGAATTTTCAATCTAATTAAAATTATATCTTCACATCTCTCCCGTTTACTGATATGCCGCTTCCACGCGACATATCAGTAAACGTGAGCGATGTGAAGATATAATTCTAATCAGATTGATGAATTTTTGAACTGTTGAGATATTCGGTATTGTTAATATTACACTGCAAATATAGCCATATTCACTAAGTGACGGGGTTTCCCAGACTTAAAAAAATACTTTCAATACTTCCCATCCGAGGACCATCTTTTGAATAAAGATTTTGATTACGTGATGTAATATGCAAAAATAATTCGTATGACGGAAAAGTGACCCTCCTTTGGGAAGGTGCTCAAAATGATGAAAAACATTTTTTTTTATCAAGTTTCTCAAAACTGCCTAAGGTGTTTCTTGGGTTGAAAACAGTTTTGTGTTTCCATATGTGTGTCCCATGTAGCCTAATATTTAACGCAGTTAGCTTGTGACCAGAAGAAGTGAACGGTGCAAGTTCGAATCGACGTTTTTGGGTGTTTTGTTTTTAATATTTAGTCATGTGATCATTTTCCTTAATTAAGTGTTAAAATATATTTGAAATCAATGGAACATTTTATTGATATTCTAATAACTTACCTATTGAATCATGACAACAAATCCCTGTACGCATGTACAGTGTAACTATACGCTTTTTAGGTAAGACATCATGATATTTATGAATTGTTTTACCCTCAAATTGGCACTAGTATTTTTATTTATTATTTAAACACAAACAACTGATACCGAAATACAAAATATATGGGATGTTGCGTCAGAATAAAAACAAAGGCAAAGCAAAAAAATAGTTTACTGTTATTAACGCAAAGATATTACCGAATATGCGGGAAAATTCATCGTCGAGGATAGTCTCATTCGTTTTAAATGCAGGAAGGTAAGGAACGCAATACACGTGTAAGACATGCTACTCAAAAACTATATGTAATTTCACCATTCCACGGTGCATGATGGTTTGGTTTAGTTTGGTTTGATTTTGTTTAACGTCCTATTAACAGCTAAGGTCATTTAAGGACGTGCCTCCATGTGTGTAGTGTATGCGTGCTTGCGTGTGTGTATGCAGGATACAGGATATGTTGGTGTGGTCTGTTGCAGGAAGAACAAAATCAAGATGTGTGCTTTTTAAGAAAACAGGTGACGGCATGACGTACGCAGTAGCAATGGAAATATCTTTAAAACTTGTTGGTAATGATTGTACAATCTTGTGTTTCATACAGCATAACGCGAAATAAGCATTTCGTCGAGTCTTTATCGTGAAACACATGTATCAATAGCCATGGCCTTAAATTCGTCTGTTTACAATTATCTATTCTTAGACACGGGATTCCAATAGAGCTACCTGCATACAAATACCTGATGAGGACGCGTCATAACACTGTACGGTTGGACGCGCGCACTAGCGGATCATAGCTTTAGGGAAATAGGCATATAGCAATCCACCATAGCTCTTTCTATGGTCGGCAGGAAAATCTAAGTTAGGTAGGGATACCTGAAACACACACATATTTTTTTACTTTTTGGCCTAATCACATTCTTTCTTAGATTACCAATTTGAGGTGTGATTTTTCTGGGGGGGGAAGTTTAACCGGAAGTAACACGGATATGGCGAGTAGGGTAAATATGACGCGTGCCGGATGGATATGGCGCCTGCTGGGTTTATAAATTATATTGGTTGGTCCACTCTGTAATAGGGGAGGAGTTCTTTCATTTTCCAGTGGTTATCCAGTTTAGTTACTTTTTTTATAGAATTGTTGTTATGTGCTGAAATTTTTCGGCAATTTATTATAGATCTTCCTGATCTTTTTAACAATAGTTAAACATACACGTATTCCTAGATTATTTATTGTTAGCTATATGGACGTTCACAATATGCAAAACGTTAATGGATAAATCTGTGTTAATATAAAATCGGAAACTATGGAGTCGTGCGGTCCGGAAAGGTGAATATACATATCCATCCTAATTCCCGTCTTTAGAAATATTTGTAAAGAAGAAATGTTTGCAGTTTTTCAGTTGGAAAACTACACGGACATTTACGAGTTCAAAACTGACGACTTCAATTCATGTAACTAGCATAATTAATATTTCTAAATCTGATATCATATTCTATCGACAAATCAGCCCATACAAGCATGTTGGGGAAAGGTTTGAAAACTCATATGAATCGATAATTCATGCAGCTAACAAACAGATGTTGAGCTTTAGCAATATTTGAACGATTTAAAAAATGATAAAGGATGACAAATCGATTACAGGGACCTCAGAATAAATTACAATGTGTCTGTTCAGACTTATCCGGGGTCCTTATTTATGAAACTAAGTTTCTGTGCTCAAGCACAATTTCTTATTTCCGTGTTAAATGATTCGATAGATTTGTGGAGAGACTAAAAGCCGAATATCATTTACAATATTCACACTTGACCTTTTGTCGGTGTCACATTATTTAAAGGAGTTGTAAGAGCTGGTTTAAGCACAGAATCATGAATATGGGCCCGCATGTGTAGGGGTTATTATTTTACATTTGTGTCTTGACATCAACACGTATCCTCGATACTCCTGGGGGTTACACTCACTTTCTCTCTCTGCACCTCTTGAATATTTCATAGCAAAATCGAAGGCAACAGCTAGCTATTTGATTGGTCTCGGGTAAATAAAACAAACTGACCAATCGCTAGGCTGTTAGAAGTACTAATATTTATAAAAGAAAATCTCTCGTCGTCAGAAAGCTACGTTATCGCAGCTAGGCTGATAGTTGTCCTTTGAAGATTACAGTGGAGCGACAACAGACTTCAAAGCTAGTCAATTTTACCGTTACGCGACCGGGGAATTCTTTCGATGGATATGGGAGCATCCAACTGGTCTTCTTGTTTTATCCACAATGTGCTGCACACTCAGCCTTCGCTTTGGTCGGGGTGCAGAGAGCGAAAGGGAGCGTAACCCCTGGAGTATCGCGGATGATCAACACTTAGTAAAATACTAGCCTTAATTCGATTCACGGGGGTGGCACCTTTACTGAGGGATGATCCACCCCCTAAACATCTAATGATTCTCTCTACCCCAACATCCTCTCTGTAATTGAATCTCAGGTCCCCGTAAATCCGATGACTTTATGCGGGTATTTGACAATGGTCCGTATCGTCTTCCCGTAACATTTATATTCGCTGTGGAATGTTAGCCCGGATATGTTGGGTTTTTTTTAGAAATAAGGGCCCCGGGCGTGTCATTTAACATATTAAAGCACGGAATAACCTTCATGTACCAAGTGAACAGATCAACTTATAAAGACACACGTTACACGGACATGCGCTATAAAACTAAACGGTATAAAAATACGGGTTCTAGATCTATATACCCGGTATATAGATACAAGGTATATCGATACATTGTATACAGATACAAGGTATATAGATACAAGGTATACAGAAACATGGTATACAGACACATAGTATACAAATATATAGTATATAGATACATAGTATACAGACACATAGTATACTATGTATCTATATACTATGTATCTGTATACTATGTGTCTGTAAACTATGTGTCTGTATACCATGGATCTGTATACTATGTATCTGTATTCTATGTGTCTGTATACCATGTTTCTGTATAACTTGTATCTATATACCTTGTATCTGTGTATACTATGTATCTGTATGCTATGTATCTGTATACTATTATGTGTCTGTATACTATGTGTGTGTATACTATGTGTCTGTAGACCATGTTTCTGTATACCTTGTATCTATATACTATATATCTATATACTATGTGTCTGTATACCATGTATCTGTATACCATGTATCTGTATACCTT